AGAACACACACGTGAAATCGTGCACTCAAGAGAAATGGGCCCCAATCAACATGGAATAACATAATACATTATAACATGGATACACTGCCATGTGGTGGCAAGTGCTGTGAAGTCACAGCTGACTTAAGGCGACCTCCTAATGTTTTCAAGGCAAGGGAGGTTCAGAGGTGGTTTGCCATTTCCCGCCTCCCCGTCACCAATCTAGTCTTCCTTAGAGGTCTCCCATCCAAATAATAGCCAGAGCCAGCCGTGCTTAGCTTCTGATATCTGCCGAGATCGGGCTAGCCTGTGCTATTCAGGTCAGAGCTAAACTCCGGTAGCAGGTCCCTAAAAATACATGAAAACCGGCTTCGATCCAGTTTGCGGCTTCCACCCACGTGCATTCAACATCCACATCGCTAAGGAAGTTCCTGACATTAAAAAAACAGCGTCTGTAACTTACGTCTCCAGAAAGCTAAATAAAAACAGGATAATATACTACAGTCGGCTCTTCCACCAGCAGGAACTGAACGCGATTTCAGAAACAGAGTTGTGACTTTCGCACATTTCTTCAACAGAAGGGTCTCCCCGCGAAACTTCCCCAAACGTCACCACCGCAAAGGATCCCGCTGCATTCTGGGAATTGTAGTTTATCACATCGACAACCCCTCCCATTCAAAAAAGCCCCCAGACTAGCCTGCAAGTCCATGATGAATATTTTGGTCCATACGTCATTTCATATCTGTTTTTATCATTATTTCTGAGGAAGTATTATGGGATGAGATTGTTCAGAAAGGTGGAGGGTTGCATAACAAGTGTGTACCAAGTCCATCTATTCTTGGGCTCAGGTCCAGTTTGTCTCTGTTTCAAAGCCGAAGAGCCAGCGCTGTCCGAAGACGTTTCCGTGGTCATGTGGCCGGCATGACTAAACACCAAGGCACACGGAACGCTGTTACCCTCCCACCGAAGTGGTCCCTATTTATCTACTTGCAATTTCTTGCTTTCAAACTGCTAGGTTGGCAGGAGCTGGAACTAGAGACGGGAGCTCACTCCGTCACAAGTGTGTACCAAGCCAATATATTCTTGGGCCCAAGTCCAGTTTGGGAGAAGAAAGGAAAGGAATGTTTTATTATGCTATCTAACTTGGAAGAAAGTTCGTTATTTTCATTTCTCGTGTTTTATGGTAAACTATTCTGAAATATTTTCAGGATTACTTCCCCTCCTGGCATCCTATTCTCTCCTGGCATCCTATCGCGGGCGTTGCAGCTGCCGCCGAGAACAGCGGCGCCGGCCATAACTTTTTAAAGAGTCCCTTAGGAGAGCTGGGAGAGCCAGAATGACCTCTCGCATGTGATGTCCGAGCGCCTTCGCCGTTCCTCCTTTAGTCACGGAAACAGCCGCTGTCCCTGTGATGACGTTTTCTGGGCTTCCCCCCTTCCTTCAGTCAATATAGACAGAAAAACAAAAGGGGGGGGGGAATCCTCCCAACCATTACGTCCGCGCTGGCTTCTCAATCTCTCTAAAGCGGAGGGAATCCAGCAAGGGAGAGCAATCGGTCGGGGCGGGGGAGGAGCAGAAGTCGGGCTGCTGCTGCTGCGGAACTGTCGTCTCGGGGATGGCGTTTCCGGGAGTGAGGAAAAGAAAGTGGCGCGGAAAGTGAAGAGGAACAATTTAGGCCGAAGACCGGAAGTTTGGTGGCGCGAGCGGCAGAAGCCCTGGTGAGCGAAGGCGAGAAGAAGCGAGGAGGAGAATGGCGGGGCTGTCGGTGCGGGACCCCGCCGTGGATCGGTCCCTGCGCTCCGTGTTCGGTGAGGGTGGAGGGGAGAGGGAGTGCGGGAAGCCAGTTCCCGTGGAGGGTGTCGCCGCGCCTCGTCACACCCCCCCTGTGCTGCCCTGTCGCCATAGAAACTCAGAGCTCCGCTGTGTGGAAAGCTGTAGGCCTCTAGTCTCCATAAATGCGGGGAGCCTCCTTTAGACAACGACGGAGGCTTCCTGTCTCTTTAACCTGTCCATCTTCTGTGCCTCAAGGCACCACTTCGTTTCCTCTGCCTCCCGAGGAATCGCGTAATGGGGAGAGGTCTCTGGGTGAAGGAGGGTGAAGAAAAGTAAGCCAGTGTGGTGGAGCGTGGGGTCAGGAACGGGGAGATCCCCGTCTACATCTTCATTCAGCCGTGCCATTCCCAGCGTGGCTTGATGTCAGTCATGTACTGTCTCACCTTGACCTACCTCACAGGGTTGCTGTAAGAATAAAACGGACGGGGGGGGAGAGATGTGTGTCTTTTGCCTTCTTGGAGAAAGGGTGTGTGTTTTTTTTTTAAAGTTTGGATGGAACAAAGAGATGATGTAGAAAATGATTAGGAAAGCAAAGGTTTTCCTGTAGCATAGTCGTAAAAAGCTGTGTTCAAGAGGTCACTGGCTCTCAAGTCTTGTCTCTGCCATAAACTTGTTTCCTAAGCAAATTGCTGTCAGCATCACTCCCCTCTACATTCTGTAATATGGGGGGGAGGGGTTGATAGTTGTTGTTATTATAGGGCTGTGACAAACTAATGTACGTGAATTACTTTGAATACTGAGTCCGAAATGTTAGTGTTAAATACATTAAAGAATGCAGTTAAAAAGTTAATCTGTTCTGTAGGGTATTGATATACTGTGGCTTGAAGCAAGGGAGTGAAAGGGATAGGAGGAAAGACTTTTGTGGGAGCATCTGCCATGAACTGGAGTGAGGAACACGCATAAATGACTGTCAGTGTGCCTTTATAACTAGTATTGGTTTACAGGCTTTCTGTTTTCAGAGAGCCTTTCTACATCTTTTGGCGTGCTGAAGGGCTGGATGTTCCCTAACATCAGCTGAGAACAGAAATGTTTGTTAGTCCAGAAGATGCAAAATAAGAACTTGGTAGCTTCTAATGGACAAACAGACTTATTGTAGCATAAGCTTTTGTGGGCTTGTTAGATGTGGTAGCAAAGTGGGCTCAGGACCATAAAAGCTCATGCTAAAAAAAGTGTCTTTAATATGCCACTGATTTTTTCTTTTGTTATTGCTGGAGTAGACTAACACAGCTGCCCCATTGGAATTTGTACCCAGAAAACATGATTTCTAAAACCCGACTTTGTTAAGGTAACACAAACATGGTATAGGGCATCAGAGATGTCTGATAGGTTTCCAGGAATCCCAGGCTTCTTTGCAACACAGAATGAAAATTACTGGCATTGAGGAAAAATAAAGATGACCAGCTAGCTTTCATTCCTTTCTGTCCTGTGTTTTGTCCTCTTTACCTTTTTCCTTAACACATACATCATCAGGCAAATAGTTTAAAAGGGGCAGAAAGCAATAAGTGCTTACTGGGTTATTGCATTCAAATATTTACAAATTTAACATTACCTGTTCCCTAAAATGGGGCTTCAAAATTAAGCCAGGTGGTGATGCTCAAGAATTGGGGTCTGTCTTGTGTCCATTTCATTGGTCAGTGCAAAGGTAGGGCTGTGAATAAAACAATCTACTGCCCTGTCTTACGGGGCTGGGGAGGGAATCCATTTGTTAATAGTGTGTGTTTACTGTAGCTAATGTGAAGTTCCTTAAGCACAATTTTAGTTAACTTTGTTTCCAGTTAGTTAAAAATGGGCAGATGTGGATTTGTTGTTCCCTAGCCTCGGCATTTAGTCATACCGGCCACATGACCATGGAAGAAGTCTTCGGACAGTGCTGGCTCTATGGCTTGGAAACAGAGATGAGCACCGCCCCCTAGAGTCAGATTCAACTGGCTTTCGAGCAAGGGAAACCTTTACCTTTAGCTATTTCTAGAGGTCACTTCGCTCTTCCTGTTGTGGGCTGAGTGGCTGGCGAAATTATATAGCTGCAGCAAAGTAAGCACAGCAGGGGGCGGTCATCACTTTTTATGCCCTGTTTGGGAATTTCCCCAAAGCATCTGCCCGGCTACTATTGTAGACAGAATGGGAATGGTTATATTAGATGGATCTTTAGTCTGATCCAGAAAGACATTCTTGCAAAAGAATGTAGCAAATGGTGCATGAATACAAGAAAGCCCCAAATACTTCCACCTTTACTGGCTGCCCAGGGTGCTTACTTAGAAGAAAGTTCCATTGATTACAATAGGGTTTGCTTATTTAGGATTGCACCCTGTTTGGAGACTCCTGTAGTTCTTTAAACGAACTAATGGTCTTTAGGTATGCTTGCTTTATTGGTAGCTGGATAAAAGTCTAGGTATTAGTCAATAGGCTTTTTGGACTGCCATTGTAGAATGTGTGTCTGTTTTTCCTTCTGCAATGAAAGGAAACAGTGCACTGCTGGAAATACACCAGATGCAAGCAAATGACATTTCAAGTGTCTCAATCTGCAAAGGTCTTTTTAGTGAACATTTTCCAATTCACTGTATCATTTTCATCACTGTCTTCTAAAATTTCAGTGTTTCTGCATTACTAGCAACTAACAACCCAAGTGCCCTGGGTTGATGTATGTAGAAATATAGGGACAAGCCCTTGTTTAGATCAACTCATTGAATCAGAGGAGTGGAAATGGATCTCAGAAGCCATTGGTTCAAAATGAATAGAAAAGCTGTTTTAAAAAAAAAGCTGTTGACTCATGGGTCATTAGACCATCTGGTTGAGTGCAGTTTTAATGTAGGAACTGAGTTAGGGGAGTACAGTTTGGAAACCCTACTCCAGCCCCCAAAATCTCCCCTTTCAGTATTCTCTAAAACTCTAGTTCAAGCAGGCTAATCCCCACCCCACCCCAATCACTGGCTCTCAGTTGCTCTCAAAATTCTGCAGTATTTTCCATTCTCGTGAGGTTCTTTCTGAGGACTTTTTGTTAATTTACAAACTCACTCTTTTTGCATACTTGGGGAGTACCCTACATAAACAGCTGTACCTGTATACAGCCCTTGTTCTGTTGCCCCTCATATCCCCCAGTATCTGTCTTCTGATGTGTACCTTATTTCAGTGTTGTGCATCTATACTGATGGTCTGCTCCTGTCTCTCTCCTGTAGTGGGAAATATCCCATATGAAGCCACAGAGGAACAGTTAAAGGACATTTTCTCAGAGGTTGGACCTGTTGTCAGTTTCCGGTGAGAACCAGTCCTGTTTAGAGTTTCCCAAACCAGGGACTTGTAAGGATGTGAAACTGGGCATGGGTGGCACAGAGTTTGGGAACGGGTAACTGGGCACGGGTGGCACAAAGTTTGGAAATGGGTCGGAGGACATTACGGCTTCCTGTCTTGCTGCAACGTCTCAGAGTCCCCTTTCTGGCTGCCGCCTCCCCAGTGTCTTTCTGTGTGTAAGAATTACAATGTTTCTGTCCTCTCCTGAGCAGATTGGTGTATGACAGAGAGACAGGCAAACCAAAAGGCTATGGCTTCTGTGAATATCAAGACCAGGAAACAGCCCTCAGTGCCATGCGGAACCTGAATGGGCGCGAATTCAGTGGGAGGGCTCTGCGTGTGGACAACGCAGCCAGTGAGAAGAATAAAGAGGAGCTGAAGAGTGAGTCTGAACACCTTAAGGAATGGGTGGCAAAGGCAGCCATTGTGGTCTGCTGCCTCTGGCACGGAGCAGGCAAGCAACCAGTTGAGCCCAGAAACCTGTTTGCTCTAAAGTTTTTCCCCTTCTTCTCTGCCAGGCTTGGGCACCGGGGCCCCCATCATTGAGTCACCCTACGGAGACCCAGTGAACCCTGAAGATGCTCCAGAGTCCATCAGCAGGGCTGTTGCCAGCCTCCCACCTGAGCAGATGTTTGAGCTGATGAAACAGATGAAGGTCAGTGGGGCAGGAAAGCTGAGAGTAATCTGCATTCAGTCCATCCAGGGTGTGGAAGTAGCTTAATGGGAGGACATATTTGAAGGCTTTTCCAGTAGAAAGATTTCCAGTAGCAGGGCTTGTGTGACCAGCGAGTCATCAGCATTACCATGAACTAGCTGGCCCAATGTTCTCACCTGGTCCATGGAAATTCTGTATATCTTTACCCACAACCCTGTGAGATTTTGGCCTTCTGGGCAAAGTACACTGCCTCTGCTGGCCTTTGGAAATGTAGTGCTGGTGAAACTAGCAGACTTATTAATTCAGGCATGTGGATATCTAACACTTCAAAATTCATCTCTGGCTCCTACAAATCTGAATTGTTTTTACACTCCTGTTTTCTGAGGTTTATTCTGTGGTTGGAGGGATGTCCTGTTGAAGTGTCGGAGAAACACTCCAGAAACTTGGAACTTCAATTTAACTGTTGCGTGTGTTTCTCTCTCCCCAGCTGTGTGTCCAGAACAGCCCTCAGGAGGCTCGCAGCATGCTGCTACAGAACCCACAGCTCGCTTATGCTCTGCTGCAGGCCCAGGTGGTGATGCGAATTGTTGATCCTGAGATTGCTCTGGTATGCTCTTGACTGGGGGGGGGGGGGGGCTGTCCCATGGTGGAGCAATGTACTTTGATGATTTGAGTGTGGTGCTTTTACCAGCTCTTCATACCATGTCTCTCTCTCTTTTTTCCCCTCCCTCTAGAAAATTCTGCATCGCCAGACCACTGTTCCTTCTCTGATTCCAGGCAATCCACAAGCAGTTCCAGGGCCTGGGCCCGGTCCTGGTCCAGGAGCTGGGCCTGGACCTGGGCCCGGTCCTGGTCCGAACACACAGATGAACCAACCGAATGTCCCAACATCCCAGCCACAGCCAATAGTAAGAAGCCTCTGTGTCCAGTTTGATGGCCTCCTGTGGCTAGTGACTAGTCGCTGTGTGAAATAGTTTGCTGGACTAGATGCATACTGGTCCAGTCCAGCAGGGCTTTTCTTATGTTCTTTTATGTTTGAAGTCTAATTCAAGTTTAATAGGTCTGCTAGCCGGTTTGTGTTGTGTTTGGGTGTTCCAAGTCTTGTCTCTGCCCATTGGAATCATTTTCTATTCTCTGTTAGCCATCATGACCCCCAGCTAAGAAATTCTGGGAACTATAGGTTTGGGGTTTCTTTTAAGAATTTTACATTGCTACCTAAGAATTCCTTAGCACACTCATAAGGCAGCAATTTCCTTAATTCTTAGCCTGAATATCTGTGACAAGTATACTGCATGTGCATCAAACCATGGGTGTGCAAAGGTAAATAGGTGCCGTATTTTAATGCTGAAACTTGGGGTAGGGGTTGGTTGTTCTGATTGTTTGGATATCTGGCCCACAGCTGATTTTTTCCAATGAAATAGATTGCCTGCAAAGCTGCAGAGTGAAATTAATCTTTAGGAAATCTGTAGGTGATGGGGAGAACAGTCAGGCTTGTACTCCTCAAGTGGGTCCCCTTTATGCTTCTGGCAAGCAAGCTCTGGGGAAGAGAAAGACTTGCATGGACGTAAACTATGCACTGGCTCGTCTGGAGTGGTTTTGTAAAATTTCATTTGTAGAATTTCCTTCTAGAAGAATCAGGGACCTGAGGCAGCTTTCAAAATATGTACGAGCATAAAAATATGTCAGAGGACAAATTTAAACATTAAAAATGCCTACCCATATAAACATTCATCCTACCAAACCAAAACTGCATCGCTTTATATGTAAGGTAAAGGTAAAGGTTCCCTTGCTCGAAAGCCAGTCGAATCCGACTCTAGGGTTGCAGTGCTCATCTCCGTACCAAAGCCGAAGAGCCAGCACTGTCCAAAGACGTTTCCGTGGTCATGTGGCCGGCATGACTAGACGCCGAGGCGCACGGAACGCTGTTACCTTCCCACCGAAGTGGTACCTATTTATCTACTTGCAATTTCTTGCTTTCGAACTGCTAGGTTGGCAGGAGCTGGAACTAGAGACGGGAGCTCACTCCGTCATGCGGCACCCCTGGGTCTCGAACTGCTGAACTACTGACCTTCCACAGCCTGCAGTTCAGCGTCTTAACCACTGAAGCCACCACAGCTCCAATCGCTTTATATGTACTGATCCTTTAATCTCTTGGAAAGGAGGCCATTTTGCTTGAAGACGAAAGGGGTGTTGATAGAATAGTAACTGACAGTATTAATGCACTACTGAGTGAGACTCAAGCTTAGTGCTGCTGTTGGTTATAAAGCTGAGTCTGGACTGTGCCACTTCAGTCGGTGGCTCCTCTGAATCGACATTCCTCCTTACAACATAATTAGCCACGCACAGGAAACCAGACCTTATTTGCTGCTGTTTGGAACCTACTTGCAAAGTGCTCACCTTTACACAAGTTGGATTTCAGTTAATGCCAGTAGCAGTTTGTTTCTGGACAGTATAAAAATTATCCTATTCATTTGCATTTTTATGTGTTGTTAATCATAACATTTATAGCCGGCGTTTCTGGCACAACACTCTTGAGGAAGCTTCCACATAGAAATTAAAACGATGAATGTGCAATTAGAAACCCACGTTAAAACCGTTGAATGCAGCAGTTAAAAGATCCTTAAATATTTTAAAGCCCCATTAGCAAGGGAATGAAGAATCAATCAGGAGAGAACAGCAAATCAAATAGTAAATTAGGAAGAACAATTTAACAAACCCTTAAAGAGGCAATACAGAAGGGAGAGACCAAAATGGTTCCTCTCACTGAACAACCGTATCTCTAAGGGTGGGAGAAATAGCCAAAAAAACCTGGATCAGGAGAAACCAACCACAAAGCCAACAAACTAACAAAGAGCCTGGGAAGAGAGAAATGACTTTGCCAGGCACCCAGAACTCAAAAAGCTAGGCGGTAGGCAAACTAATTCTGAGAGGCAGTTCCAGCAATAAGGTGCCACAGCAGAAAAGACCCTGGCCCTGGTTCACCTACCCACATTTCTTCTGAAGGTCAGGGCATGTACAAAAGTGTGTGTTCGACAAGCATTGTATGTGTTCTGGTGTCCAGTTCTAGAAGATAAAAGGCAGAGGTTCTTTCACACTTTTTAGGAAAGGCATATGTATTGTTCTGTGATGCAAAGTTGAAATATTTGTTGACAGACAGCAACAAAGAGGTTAGTATAGCCAATTTTGCTTTGGTTGCTATCGGATCTCCTAACTTGTAACAGACTACATTAAGATAGGACATTCTCTTATGGAGTTTTTTGAGAAAACTGCTGCTTTGTTCTCCAGCTTTGCGTGTGACTTTGCAGTTCTCCATATATTGTGGCCTGAGTTCTTAATGGATTTCATAATCCTAAATTTTTATTTCCCATAAGCTGCTTCAGCTAGGTGTCAGGGAGAAGGGATCTAGTCGAGCCTTCTTCCTGACATGCTGCTTTTCTATGTGCAAGATGTATTTATTTATTGTATGGGAGAGCATTTCATCATGTAAGCCTCTGCCTGAAGTGTCAGAATGTAAATCCATGTTTTTCTCCCACTTGAGCTTAGCTTCAATGTACTTTCTTTCCCCAATCAGGGTGGCATGCATGTCAATGGAGCCCCTCCTCTGATGCAGCCTTCTATGCCAGGGGGAGTACCAGCCCCAGGTCAGATGCCCACCTCTGTACCCGGCCCTGGCCCCATGGCTCCAGGTGGTGAGTTCTCCAGTGTTTCTTGTCTAGCATTTATCCTTGAGCTGGTAGGTGTCAATTTGGACCAAAGGGCCTGCAGGATCTTTCCAAGAGCATAGAGTGATAATAAACTGCAGAACAGAAGAGCTTGGTTGGGGCAAGACTGGATGCAACAGCATTGTGGTTCATTAGATCTGAGGGGTCAAACAGAGGATGAGTTCAGTCCATAAAATGCAAATGCTACACTCATGCAGCCTCAGTATGCCATGGAGCTATGCACACAAGGGAGAAGATGTTTAACTGTTCAGCCTCAATTGTTTTTACTGTCTGAATCCATGTTCCCTGCTTTTTAAGCTTTTAAAGGAGACAAGCTGTGTCCTTTAAAATCAGTGTTTTTAAAAAACAATTCAAATGCTAATAACAAAGAAAGATCTTGGTTTTGAATTACAAAAATGAGTAGAACTTAAAGGGTTATAACCCTTTCCCTTCCTTGCACTACTGTGAGGTTGCAAATTGAGCCCTTAGTGACCAGAGTAGGAACAGGAGCATTGTTCTTGCAGCAGAAGGGAATTTTTTATCAGAAAGAAACAGCAAGAACAGTGGACATAAGAAGGTGTGAGATGGCTGTAGTTCATTTGCCTTTCCCCATCACCGGTTATCACAGTTTTAAAACAGCAGGGCAATATAAGCAGTTGACCTAATAAAAGAAACAATAACAATAAAACAACCTGCCATCCTGCCCTTGAAAATAAATGGCACCATAATAAAATAACAACGGAAGCTGCCCCCGCTGCCCAGTAGCAATCTTGGCTTCATGCAGTATTGGACTGTAGCCCAGTAACAGGCAGGTAATTGACAGTATTTGACAGTCAGTTGACTGGAATGCTGATCCTAGATTCAGCCCCACAGTCTCTCTTCTTTTCTTGAGCTCAGCCTGGAAGTGTGAAAGAGCAACAGAGGTTATCTGAATACGGCCTGAATGTTCTCCCTCACCTCTGATGAATCACTGTACCCTCCATTCCACACACACCCAGGCATCGAAGGTTTAGCTTTGTACGTTAGGACGTACAACTTTGAAGCAAGCACAGGCCCCAATGTGTTTTAGTTTACAGCGTAAACAGTAGCAAGTGGAGGCCATGTGTTGTGATGCTAGTTCAAGTGGGAAGCATCAAGCTACAAAGGATGGAGTGGAAGGAGTCTACATAGGGTTTGGTTGCCACATGCCAACGCTGCTGGTTTTTGCTTTTGATGCTTTTTCTGCCCTTTCTTTGTACCCTGTAACCTACCCAAAGCCTTCTGGGTATTAAAAAAAAATTGAACTTCTCTCTTCCACAGGGGGCATGCCAGGAGGTGGGCCAATGCTCATGGAACGCGGGCAAGGTAAAACAGATGATGATAGTCAGATCCTGGTTAGATAGCATGTCCCAGGAAGGCTCCTGGTTTCTAAGTGGGGGCATGGACAAGGTTTGGGTGGAGAGGGAGTCGCAAACTGGGAGGGGGGCAGGGCAGTCCCTTTGAATAAACATGGATCCTTCCCCCTAATTAATGGCATATAACCCGCTTTCAAGCTCTCTGTGACTCTGTCCCTCCATTTCTCTTTGCGCTTAGTGGACAATGAGAGTGATGCTTTCCCCAGTAATGCTCCATCAGGTACTTTGCATGTGCTGTAGAAAGCAGGGAAAACACCCCTTGGTTGGGCTCCACAGTCGTTCGGGTAGCGCTTGAGCAGCGTTGCACCTGCTTTCTTTTGTTTCTCCAGCAGAGGGTGCCCTGGCAATGCTTTTTTTTTCCCTCCTCTCCTTTTCTCGCAAGGTAATGGGGCTTGCTTTGTTCTGGTGATGGAAGCCCAGGAAAAGTGTGTGTGAGTGTACATGCGTGTGTGTTCATGTAATAGAAAGAGAGTGCTGGAGATGTAGCTGCATGTTCCTCCACCTAGTTTTCGCAGAACGCAGCATTAGTTCTGCAGCATTGCTTTCCAACATCAGACCAAAGTTCCTTTTTGTACACAGACCCAACAGTGGCCGGCCAGTTTTATTTATTTCCTTTGTCTGTAGTCTGCATTTCTCACTAAGGCGGAATACGTGACGTGGAACAATGTAAGAAAATAGTATGAGATCTAATAAAACATGCAGTAAGGCTAGGATTACAAAAATTAGAAACAGTGCAAAAAAAAAAGTCACTGACATGATATGTCAAGTGATGCAGAAAATGGAATGACAAATGTAGAAAGCAATGCAGTAAGAACCGGATAATATATACAACAAATAGGTAATATATAGCATACACAAGGGCATAGATTACAGTCCTGTTCTCACCTTCCTGAACCATCCTTTCACCCTATTGCCCTTTTACCTTTATAAAAATGCTCTCCTGAATAGTTCTGTTGTATAGTTTGCCGAATGACTGAAGCTTAGGAGCTGACCACCACGGGCAAGCCATTCCAAAGGTGGGGGCCACAACAGTTTGCCCATTTGCTGGGTAACACCTTCAGAAGGTTTTTGCCAGATGGGCGAAGCTGTCGTAGTGGAGCACGGCAGGGAAGGAGGTCCTGTAGACAGGGAGGCCCAAGGCCACGATGGGCTTTGTACACGATAGCCAGAACCTTGAACTGAACCTGGCAACCGATAGGTAGCCAATGAAGAATGGGTGTACCTAGCTCCTGGTAGGAACAGAGCTCCAGCATTCTGTACACCTGGAGTTTGAGCTGAGATCCCCCAGAAGCTTGGCAGGGTCTGATGGCCAGTGGTACAGTCCGGTGATTTGAGATGTAGGACTTAATAGTCTTGCGCATCACCCAGCCCACCATTTAAGACTCTCTGCTTCAGATGCAAAGCTGCAGCCTGCTTTTGGGGCCCCTCTGCCAAAACTGTGAGCAGAGGCCCTGGACTTCGGGCATCAAATCCGCCCCCTTTTGCCTTCCCATTTTGCTCTCCTGACAGCTGACTGAGAGAGTGATTTGCAGTCTATTGTGCATCTTCACTCAGATAGAAATCTCACTGTGTAAATGTGCATGGGACTGCAGCCTTAGTTTTGATGTCTAGTGGGGATTTGTGGCTGGGTCTTCACTTCTATAGTCAAGATATATTGTAGGCATGTTTGCTATAGAGTTCTCTTTGGTTGTCTTTATTTCCGTATCACTGGCCTTGCAGGGAGCCAGAGGAGAGAGCCTGTTCTACTTTCCATGTGACTTCTGGCCTTTGATCTCCTATAGGAGTCTCTTGTGATGCTCATTGCTGCCCCTTCGGCAAGTGGTTTTTTTGTGGAAATACCAATTCCACACACACACACACACACAATGCTTACTAGTCAGTTTCTGGCCAAAATGCCAAAGACAATGTACGACGTTAAAACCAATGAACACAATGTATAATATCAAACTAATAGTTAATCTCTGAATACCAGTGCTAGGAGGTAATGTCACAGGAAGGCCTTGGCCTCTATGCCTTGTCTGTTGGCCCTTCCGGGAAACAGACTACATTGACCACTGGTTTGATCCAGCACAGCTCTTCTGATCAGTTCAGAAATTGAAAATAGCCCATCAGTAGCATTTCAAGACAAGAAATGCTTGAGAAAATAGAATGGCTTTTTTTTTTTGACAGCACAACATTGGGAAGGGGGGAGTTTACGCAGTATAAGGCATTCCAGTGATCAGGTGCAGCAATCAAGAAGTCTTCACTGTGGAGCCTTTGCTATGTCTCCCCGGGATGTGGGACACAACCAGCAGGGCCTCATGTGGTAGTCTAAGGGCCCAGAAAGAAATAGACAGAACAAGACAGTAATTCCAGGCAGTAGTCTACAAGCAGCTATAAGCAGAATGGCCCAGTCTTTGGCTTGCTTCATATGAAATGGTTAGCTTATATGAATGAGCCTAGGGGATACCCAGGTTCATGCTGTCCCTCCTTTCTGAACACATGGCCAAATAATTAAGTATCCCCAGGTTTGCAACAAGCCCTATGTTCCTCGCAGTCTCACCTGGCAAACTAGAGTTCATGCAGACTAGAACTCTAACCTGAATACAAACCACTGTTTGGAATTCTGGTTCACGGGGCAAGTACAAACCACAGTTTGCTGCAAATGTAGGAATATCTAGTCATCTGGCTATACACAGGAGGGGGGAGCAAGTCAGCCCTAGTGATCCCCCAGGCTTGCTCACTTACAAGGCAAACTGTAGTTTGCCATTCCACCTGAACCATTAGAGAAGTGTTCATATCTGGAGACACTTAGCAGGCTGTCTATCCAATCTATATACTAATAGCAAAGGTGCCCCCCTGCGTGCAGATATCTAAATCCGCACATTGGGGGCACCTGGGGGGCAGGGAGATTTTCCTGCACACTTGGGGCAGGCCCCAGGTGTGCACAAAAATCTAAAAGGTGAAAAAAAATATCGGGGGGGATATTTAAATCCCCCCAAAAGTAAAAGAGCCTTCCCTGCGCATGCGCAGGGAACGCTCTGCGAACTGCCTCGCCGCCGCCACAGTGGACAGGAGGGCGGGAGAAGGCTTGCTGGGCCGGCCTCACCACAGCTGCTGCTGCGGAGGGAGGAAGGGGGAAGCTTGGTGGCCCAGCCGGCCTCGCCGCCGCTGCTGGGGAGGGAGAGTGAAGCTTGGCGGGCCGGCCTTGCCGCCGCTGCGCTGCTGCTGCTGCTCGGGAGGGAGGGGGAAGCTTGGCGGGCCAGCCAGCCTTGCTGCTGCTGGGGAGGGAGGGTGACGCTTGGCGGGCTGGAATACTCCCCCCGTGCAAGTATCACTTCGAAGGCGGGGGGGGGATCGGTGAGGCCCGGCGGCTGCAAGCCACTCAGGCCTCGCCCCCTGAGCTGGGGGTGGGGGGGAGGAATTGGCGGGATGGGGGGGAAGCTTACCTGCTGCTGCTGCTTCCTCCTCCGCCTGCTCTGCGTGGAGCTCTCCCCCCCCCCCGTGAGTTTTGCGGGTCCCCTTTCTTATAACTGCTTTATTCCCAGCATTCATCAGTATTCTTTCAGCACTTTTACCTAATACCCTTCCACTGTAGTGCCTTGACATCATCATTGTGAGAAGAAGCGATCAGGCCCCTGGTTAGTGTTTATTTTCTTTCTTTCTGTACTTACATAGTTCTCCTCTCCTCCGTTTTATTTTCACACCCACCCAGAAAGGTTAGGTTAGGCTGAGTGCGTGTGACTGGCTCAGGGTCCCCCAGCACACTTCCCTGGCAGAGTGGGGAATTTGAACCTGGGTCTCCCAGATTCTAGTCCAACACTTCCTTGCAGGCTTACAATTGAATACGTATGCTGGAAGGCAGGATACGGCCTTAGGAAAAAGTCTCAGCTTTTTGTAGTTGAGGCCACCTCCCTGAAATACGGAATCAGATCCCAGAGGAGTGGCCTCTCTGTTTCCGTAAGAGCCAGATACGTAATGGATGCGATGCTCTAGTCAGAGTGTGAGTGGAGTGTGAGCACATGTGTGCATGATGAGTGCACCTCCTATTGATGTGACTGCTCTTTTTCCCTCTCTTCCTGCTGTGCGGCCAGGGAACATGCAGCTCTCTCCTGTGGGACCTGCCAGGCCTTCCTCTATTGAGCGAGTTCAAGGTACCAATAGCTGTTGCTGGCTCTTCCTGCTTGTTTGCCCGTAGCGTGGAATGCGCTAGACGAGGTCTTTGGGACTTTGTAGCTTGGGGAAAAAGAACCAGCGGCATGGTTTCCGAGAAGGAGCTGCTTCTGGGGCAAAAAGGACCAGATGGCGAGCACCTCTGGTTGTGGATAGAGGGATGGACCACTCTAACTTCTTACAAGGTGTTTTGTACCTGGGCACAGATTCCAAACCTAGAGGTTTTGAAACAGAGTTGCTTTCTATCCTCTTTTCTGTTGGAATTTTAGATTATAAGACTTGTAGGACAGGTTTTTCTCTGTTCTTTAAGTATATCATGTTCATAGTAAGGTGCCGCGTACATTGGTGATGCCAGGGAACATAAGAAGGTGGCATAGTACAAATTCGGCAGTTACGAAAGGTGAGCGTGTGTTACAACAAACAAAAGGTGGAGCCCAGTCCTTTCCCCGTGGATGCTCATCTATATTTTGAGGGGATAGCTATGGTTAAGGAGAAGGACAGGGGGTAAAGGGCATGCCTTTTGTGCAGAAGGTCCCTTGTTCAGTCCCTGGCATGTTTGCTGGGAGAGACTTCCACCAGTGGCCTTGAAGGCATGCTGCCAGACAAAGGAAACAGTACTGATGTAGAGGGACTGGCTCACTATGAGGCTGCATCCTGTGTTTGTATCTATGGATAACTGATGCGATAGACACGTGGCTTGGACAGGCACGTTATTGAGGCTACACAAATAATAGGGAATGCAGAATATGCAGGGTGCAAAAGGTCTTCTAGGAAGCCTCTCTGCCGTTCGTGTCTCCCCTACTCTTCTTGATTCTGACTGTTCTGGAGCAGGCAGAAACGATATCTCGGAGAAAACGAGCCCTGGCAGGAGCAGTTACAGGGTTATGAACAGTGTCTTGGCCACGTCGTGGTTTCTTCCTACAGCATGCTTATTTTTGAGTGAAGTGTGTGCATGAAAGTGACGCACCTCAACCCAAGCAGTGCTGAACTTCTGTTGGGCTCAAGATCCCCATGACCCCCCTTTTTTGCCTTTTTGACAGTGCCAATGCCAGACCCAAGGGCCCCCATGCAACGTGGACCAATGCCAGCTAGTGGCCCGCCACCCCGAGGCCTCTTGGGAGATGCCCCAAATGACCCCCGTGGAGGGACCTTGCTTTCAGTTACTGGAGAAGTTGAGCCCAGGTAGGTAGAACAGAGCAGAGCTTGGTGGACTTTTCTCTGGGACCCTGGACTGTTAGCAGTAATTCTGAAAGTAGTGTTGAAGCTGAAGATGGTTTCCTCCATCTCCCTTTGATGGGGAGCAGACCAACAGCCTCCTTTTGTTTTTTCCCTGGAGCCTATGTCTCAAAAGCAGCAGATGAGGATGTTAATCTGTGTAAAAACAGTTCCACTTCATACTGCAGGTAGGGTTCTTGTAAGAGCAGGACTGTTATCCCATTAAGGTGGCCATATAAGTTTAATTAATTATCACTTCCATATGGGCAAAATAATCTTAAAGGATGTTTTGGGTAACTCAGCATTGGGCATAAACTTGGAAGAAGTGTTTTCCCCTTCTGTCTTCACACAGGAAGGAATGCACCTTTTAAGGCAGTGCTTGTCATCTGCAGTTTTGACTTGTTTTTAAAGTGATATGCTTAAAAAATCTGCTACCTGATTAATGGGGAACATTCTGTAGTAAGTAAAAATAGCTTTTACTAACCCATTACTTGGCATAACTATTGCAACCCTAATATCTAATACCATAGAGAGCTGTCATATTAGGGAGATAGCTAGGCTAGCCGTTTTCTCCCTGCTGTTTAGCTTTCTGTGTGCAGGGAACTGGGTTTTTTTGTATGACGTAACAATCGTGTGATCCTGATGTCTGCAGCAATGCAGCCTAGTCTCAGATTTACCCCCTCATCAGCTGTTGGTGAGAACGAAGGTCCAGGTTTCAAGCTGATGCCTCTTGTGCCTTTTCCATCTTTCTCTTTCTCATCCACCTTGTGCCACCTTCTGCAGAGGTTACCTTGGCCCACCCCACCAGGGTCCCCCTCACCAAGGCCCACCCATGCACCACATGCCTGGCCACGACAGCCGAGGGCCACCCCCACATGAAATGAGAGGAGGACCAATGGGAGAACCCAGGCCCTTGATGGGAGAGCCACGAGGACCCTTGATGGACAGCCGAGGTGAGAGAAGATATTGAGCATCAGGGTTGATACTCGAACAAGGCAGCATTAAGATAACAAAGTATGAGAAATGGGGAGCAACAGAGGCCTGGATTGGCTGTAAATACCAGATCATGGACTGACTGTTGGGGCTGTATCTCAGCCTCACACAGTTTCCCTAGTAACACTTTTCCCTCACCTCCTTCAGTTTCCTCCCTGATGCCTGGTTTGCAGTAGACCATACTGCATCTTGAAAACTAGGCAAACCAGGAAAGATTTCCATGTGCACGTGTTGAGATTTTAATGTCCAGGTCACAGTCCTGATAGCCTATCAGTGGCTTGCCCGCTGTGAACCAGGCCAGCTGGGTTATACGGTGAAGACACGGCAAATCAGGCCGTCTTCTGCAAGCAAGAGGTTTAAGCCCTGAGGTCTAATTATTCTGGACCTTTTAAAGCCCCTGAATTTGATAATTAGGGAGTTCCTTTCCCATTTATCTCTTGCATTTTTGTTCCTAGGCAGATCAGGTACCCACCAGTGTCATCCTTACAGGAGTGTGTGCTTTGTACATTGTACCTTGAGAGAGGTTGATTAGAATAGTTTCTGTCCTCAGTGTGGCACCCGTGGATGCTGGTAGGGATGGGCATGAACCGTCTCACAAATGAAAGTTTGTGACCAATTTTGGCTGGTTCATGGTTCGCAAAGCGATGTTCGCAAACTGAAAAGCTGCCACATACTTCCATGAATTTTAAGACAGTTTGTGGCGGTTTGTGAAGAGCAGAAAGCAGGGGGTTAAATAGCTCCGAGCCATCTAAACCCGTTTTTTGCTCCCTGCCACTGTTTGTTGGGAAACCCCTGCTTTCTCCTCCCTGCAAAAAGCAGCAGGGACCAGAAATCAGATGTCACAAACCGATATGAACCACTTTAGTTTGTGAACCAACATCCTGGTTTGTATCAGTTTGTGGTTCAGCCATGAACCGAACTGTACCGTAAAAACGCGCTTCATGCCCATCCCTAGTGCTGTGATGTCCACTGGCACCCCCCAAGTGTTTTTAGAAAGTGGATAGGCTGGATGGAGCTTTTGCCTAGTATGGCTTCTGATTAGCCTTTGGAGATTTGATTGGCTGTGTCAGTTTTTACAAGGTTGTTTCTGCAGCAGCTGCCACTACAGCACAGGGATCTTCACTGTGTAATTGTGTTTGTATGCAAAAAATATGTTAAAACCATATGTTCACTTTACTGTTAGTTATGCATAATATCACTCTCTAAGATTGTGGTTGGTTCACAGTCCAGTGGCAGCAATTTTGTGATTGGGCCCATTCTTTCGCAGATTTCTGAAGATACCTGCAGGCTCAAAAGGGTTGGTGACCCCTAGTCTAAGGACACACACAGAGGTTGCTTTTTTAGAAATTGTAGTTGCTTTACGAAAGTAAATAAATAAGCAGTCCTCAGTTCAGACCTGCTTGCAACCTAAAAGTAGACAAAAGAATAGGAACTGACAACAGTATACACACAGTGTGCTGTAATTTTAGATGGTAAGCCATTTGAGTTAATAAATTTCCTGTCATCTCCGTGATCTCTCTTCCTACCAGTACACCACTCTTGGCCCGAAAGGTTGTGAATCCTACAAAAACCTAGGACCAGTTCAAGGTAGAATGTACAGATGAAACGGCGTACACTAATGGAAAATAAACAAAAGGTCTCAGGGGCCTTTTAAACGGGCTTGGACCTCTGGGCCCCAGATCCAGATCGGTAGCTCTGACATGTTCTCTGTGTATGATTTTGGGCACTTCATCATCTGTAGAACAAAATGTTCATAAGTTTTGATTGCTTTTTGTTTAGGGGGAAGAGATCCGAGAGGCATGGAGCCTCGGGGCATGGATGGCAGAGGCATGGAGCCTAGAGGCATGGATTCCAGGGGCATGGAGCCTAGAGGCATGGATACCAGGGGCATGGAGCCCAGAGGCATGGATACCAGGGGCATGGAGCCCAGAGGAATGGAGCAAAGGGTGATGGATGCCAGGGGCATGGAGCAAAGAGGAATGGAGCAAAGAGGAATGGAGCCCCCACGGGGCATGGAGCCCCCACGAGGCATGGAGCCCCCACGAGGCATGGAGCCCCCAAGGGGCATGGAGCCTAGAGGAATGGAGCAAAGAGGAATGGAACAAAGAGGAATGGAACCCCGGGGCATGGAGCCTCCAAGGGGCATGGACACGAGAGGCATGGAGCCTCCAAGGGGCATGGAGCCTCCAAGGGGCATGGACACGAGAGGCATGGAGCCCCCAAGGGGCATGGAGCCCAGGGGCATGGAGCCTCGGGGGCCCGGTCCCAACCCACGCAGTCAAATGGCCGGGGGAATCCAAGGCCCCGGGCCACTTAGCATGGGAGCCAGTGGTCCTCAGGGGCCTAGGCAGGTATGTGCACCTCTTCATTGCTACTGCAGCCTTTTCATTAAGAGGCACTGAGATATCTAGGATTGGGGGGGGGGGGGTTGAAGAACCCCATTAGGCCAGGCCAGGACCTTCATGTAATGATCATTTTCAAAAGGGGAGGGATCTGCCTCTGTAGCTACCACCAAAGTTTTTGACTTCTGATGGAGATTGGTGTACATGGTATAAAAAACTTAAGTAGTTGCCCTGTTGCTTGGAAGTGGCTTCAAAGGCAAACTTGTTTGAGGCCAGCCTGCCTGCCTGCCTGCCAGTCTTCTCATATGGCAGAATGGGTCAATGTCTTGGGGTCATTCTGACCATGCCTTGGGAGACAACTGTGGCGGAGGAGCTAAGAGGGGAAGGGACATCAGTAATTCCAAGCCTCATATCCTCTGCGCCGCTAGCCCCACTGAAGACCTGCCTGGTTAATCCGAACCATTAATAAGTTTATCTGTTCCAAATTGTGGGCTGGGAAACCCAAAGACTGGGGGAATGGACAGGAGGAACCCCTTCATTTCAAATCTAATTCCAGTTCACAGCCACTGAAAGCCCGCGCAGTGGTAGGCTCGACAGAGTGAGAGTGAAGACACCTGGGCTCGAATCTTTGCTCAGCCACAAAGCTCACTTTGGGCCAGCATCAGCCTAACTTACCTTTTAGAGTTGTTATAAAGATAATTGGGATGGGGTGGGGTGGGGAGAGGAGGTTACTGTGCTGCCCTGAAGCCCTTGGAAGAGGACAAGATCAAAACCCTAAGAGGCAAATTGCTGCCAGCAGTGGGACAGCAGGTCACATCCATATATCAGCCCATTAATAACAGGGTCCAAAGCTAAGGTAGCTAGCGGTTTCTTGTGCCATTCGCAGAGACAGGTGTCCATGTTTTCAAACGTGTCTGCATTTCAAATACAGTGAGAGGGGCCCTCAATGGTAGGTATGGAACCTCAGGGCATGGATGACAGAGGCATGGAGCCCAGAGTGATGGATGCCAGGGGTATGGAGCCTAGAGTGATGGATCACTCAGCTGCTCACCTGCCCGTGGTTTCGCTAGTTGAAGGAATTTGGGTGTTGGGAAAGACCTTCTTCCATCATAGGGAACAGCACTGGGCTCGATGGATCAATGCTCTACCTTGATATAGGATAGCTTCCTGTGTTCATCTCTAACAGGATAGAGGGTAGTGCGTTTGAATACATATATTTCTCTTCCTGCCCACAGGTTCCTAATATTGCAGGGACAGCCATGCAAGCCGGAGGCATGCCTGGGACAGGCGTGCAAGCAGCCAGCCAGCCTGGGGGCTTCAGTCCTGGCCAAAACCAGGTAACACCCCAGGATCACGAAAAGGTAAGTAAAATTAGGCTGGCCAGGGTAAGACCTGGGTTTTTGATACTGTGGGATGACGCACCTTTTTGCATCTCATCCAAAGGCCGGAGGTAATGTTTGCTCTCAGGGTTGCCAGCAAGTCCCCCAAAACATTGTGCGAGCTGTGCTGAAGAGGCTGGTTTGGAAATGGCAAGCGCCGTCTCCCAACAGAGTTGTTAAATTGGCACAGCCCAGTTCTTTCAGGCAGCCTTTGTACCTCCCTCTGCAGGGAGGCGGCTGCAGACTGAGGACATGGTTTTGTGACTTGGTTGACAGATGCCCTTGACCTGAGCTGGTGCCACAGGAGTATCATGCCATCTACAAGTTTGTGCCGTCATACCATTTCACGGTGCAAGAATGTAGGACCACGATAGTTGAGGGAGAAGCATTAGAAGGAAACATTATGCTCTCTTCAGTTAGAGAAGTTTGATAGGTGCCAGTAAGAGCATGGCTTCTTCTGTGCTGGCCCCCAGGTTCAGGAATGGGTTTGGTGAAGTCATCACTTTCAAGAAATGCAATTTACATATATTTTCAAATGTAGCTGAATTCCGGCAGACTAAAGCAGTTGTTCAGATTGTCTGCTTCTTTACAGTAGACAGAAATTGATATGTCTGTTTAGAAGATTTCTGTTGCTTTTGATAAAATTATGCTCGAGACAGCTTGCCATAAAAAGATCCATAAAAATAGAAAAGGTTAAAATGAGACCTAGAACCCAAGAAAAGGGCTTCTGTGTAGCTGATGCCACAAGGCCTGCAAAGAGGACAGTCGCAGCTTCTGGGGGAGGGATTTGCAAAGTACCGGGATGGCTTTCAGAAGGCCTCTACGGAGAGCCTCGCTGAACACACCCAAAGCAACATGGTTTCCTGCAGCAAAGAGACCTCAGTGTGTGGGCAGGCCCGTTGGATCAAGGCGACCCTTCCGGAGCTTTGAACTCCAAGCACTTAGGATTTCAGAGGTTGCAACCAGCACCTTGTGTTGGACCTGGAAACAGCTGAAAGCCATTGTAGTGGGCCCAGAACTGGTGTTAACTATGGCAGACTCCACCTGGCATTTCCACCACATTCTGAACTGATCCGCCCCTGATATGAGTGAAGCATGCCGCCCAGTTTCCCGCACTACAATACTATTGTTGGGGGGAAGAATCTGATACGTTTTTATTCATTTCCTTCCTTTATACCCTGCCTTTCTTCCCAATGGGGATTCAGAGTTGCCTCCGGTATTTCTCCTCTTCTACATTTTATCGTTACAACAGCCCTGTGAGGTAGATTAGGCTGAGAGTTTGTGACTGGCCCAAGGTTAACCCAGCAAGCTTTCACGGCAGAGCAAGGACTCGAGAGAGAGGATACGAGTACCGCATGTTTCATCCAAAGAACAAAGCTCTTAGCTTTAAAATGTCTGGATTTTCCCCCTTCTCACCCTTTTCTTCCATCTCTCCCCTTAGGCCGCACTCATCATGCAGGTCCTGCAGTTGACGGCAGACCAGATAGCCATGTTGCCTCCCGAGCAAAGGCAGAGCATCCTGATTCTGAAAGAGCAGATCCAGAAGTCCACCAGTGCCCCTTGACAAGCTGCGTTCTTGGGGTGAGAAAATGGGGGGTGGGTTGCTCCACTGGACTCTGCAGAATAGCATGAATCTGTTAGCCGCCTTATGCATGAAAGTCTACCGTGTAACATGCTGGGATTCTCCTTCTGGAGCAGCTGGCCATGGGAAGCTCTCAAGTGCAATCACAGGGGAAGCCTCGTTATATATCCTGCTCTCAAAGACAATCCTTTGGAGTGCCATCCCCAGAGACTTTCTCCTGGCCGTGTCCCTAAGTGACACGAACTGGAGCTCTGCAAGAACACACCCAGACTCTTGCTCTGTGCCTGGTAGTTTCAATGGGATTTGCACAGGAGAAGATTCCAGGGGGGGGGTGTTCTGCCCTTTGTGAAACGTTTAGCCCAGACCCCAGCTTGTCCCAGAAGCTATTTAGTGTTGTATACATTTACAAACTGCCACAGACATTTAATATATTGGTGCAACAGCAATTACTTACCTTTTCCAGAGAGCCTACGCAAGGCAGCTTAAAAACATGAAATGCCAGACAGGCTCCCAGCATTTGTAACTTGGCCAGAGCAGAAGTACAATGGAACACCGAGCAGCTTAAAACAAGTCTCAAAAGCAGTTCAGACTTTAAAAGATGGCAAAAAGAGCAGCCCTTGATTAAATGTTCGAGTATTTTAAAAAATGCTTTGGCCTGGCACATAAAAGAGAGTCGAGAAGGCGGTAGGCGAGTATCAAGGAGAAGAGCATTCCACAGGCAAGGTGCCACTGCTGGAAAAGACTGGTCTTTGGTCACCGTGTGCATCCCGGGCAGGGCTTCTGAGGAAGATCTCAGCTGGCCATTGTGGGAGGAGGCAGTCCTTCAGTGTTTCATGGAGCTTCAGAGGAGAAAATGGCTTTGAAGAGGCCGAAGGAAAATCCCTGATTGATATTGCAGGCACGGAACTGTCCTGAGATGCATGCTTGCTGCCACTGGCGTAAGACTCTGTGGATGATCTAGCCAACCCCGGAATGAAGCAAAATAGAATCCTTTGCTTAAACCATCCCCAACAAACTTCTGGGTTTGGTGGTTTGTTTGGTTTTTTGGTGCATGTATGTGTGTGTGGGGGGGTGTTAATCAGCACTTCCAAGGCAAAGAGGCTGTGTTGTCTCTCTTGGCAGCTGGCTGTAATGCCCAACTTCTCATGCATAGGAAGTTGTTCCTAATTTGTCACCTAATTCTACCTCCCTGCACTTTTTAAGAATTGCTTCCTGTCTTACCCGTGCCAACCATATTGAACAGCTATGTCCCTTATTTCAGAAATCCTTCTAAGTATTTGAGAATGGTCACCATGTCCTTCTTTAAGAGTTTGTTTTTGTCCAGTGAGGGTGGAGAGTAACGTTTTAACAGTTGTCCCCTTTATTCTCCTAGAGTCTGGAAGATCTCTGCTGAAATATCTACAAAATCCAGCCCCTTGTTGAAGACAGCGCTGAAGGTCCTTTCCTTATCTGAGCCAGAGCAGCAACTGAGCAAAGAGTTTTCCCTTCCTCTCCCCGCTCCTCCTCCTCGGTTAATTCTTCACTCATTCTATTTAGTTCATTGTGTTTCAAATAAAATTTTGCCCTGGATTTAAGTAAACCTCATGGCTTGGTACCAGTCTGCCTTACATTTGTGCCCCTTTCTCATCTCCTGACTTCTCAGGGCCCTTCAAGTGGGTCATTCCTCCTACTAGTCACTCCTAGCGTATTCAGTTTAAAAATAACACTGGATTAAAGTTCTCCAGTGCTTGCCACCTTCAGTAAACGCTCGTCCAAACTAAGAGAACTTCCAGGAAATGAGTCAGGTAGCACACTGATGGACTTCTAGAGGAGGGCTGTTCCACAGCCAGTCAGTAGTGGGGGGGATGTGACTGAGGCAGGGATATGATGGAGACCTAAAATAATCAGTGGTGCAGAGAGTGGCCAGAATCCTCCCAAAGTACTAGAATTCAGAGGCCTCCACTGAAGTTGATTATCGGGAGCCTGAATACACCCAAAAGGAAGTACTTCCTCACACAATGCATGATTAACTGGTGGAGGTCCCTTCCACAGGGTGCTAGCTTAGATGACTTTAAAAAGGGGTTAGGCAAATTTCTGGAGAGATGGATCTATGTTTGATAGCTAAAGGGAATCTTCATGATTGGAGGCAGCATTCCTTTGAGTACCACTTGCTGTGGCCAAGGGGGCAACAGCTGGGGGAGGCTTTTGCTTCCATGCCCTGCCGTGGGCCTTCTGGGTATTGGTCTAGCCAGTATTGGAAACATGGATGCTAGATTAGATGGAACCAGCCGGGCTGCTCTTATATGATGCCACCAATGTTCCCTCTAAGCTGTGGAGTCTTGTGAGCAGAAATTCTACCTTGTGAGCTACTGGCATTAAAAGTTGTGAGCGAGCGATTTGGCTACTGCATATATTAGTTTGCTCTGGAGCTGTCCTCCCTGAGCTAAGACAAAAATCTGTGAGTTGGAGGCTAAAAAACTGTGAGCTGGCTCACACTAACTCAGCTTAGAGGGAACACTGGATGCCACTGCTGTCCTAATGTGGTAGACAGAGGGTCTGATTAGAAGTTTGCCAGTGCTGTCAGTACAGCTGTTCCCCTTGCACACACACATTTAGGCTGTATGCACGGTGGATCAGGGCAGGAAATTGTGGGCTCATACAGATCACCCATCAACTGTAGAATATCAAATGATTGGTGTTTATACCTGCAGATCCCTACCAGCATATTCTCAGTCTGTCTGCACTATCCAACCTGTAATTTTGCAGTGTAGGGGTATGTGACCCAGCCTGTCCTTGTGCTCTGTCATGGCTATAAATGGGTTGTGGTAGTTGTGTCTATTGTTACCATTAATTACAAAATCTCTGTCCCGCCACCAAGGCAGCTAATAATTTAAAACACGCATGATAAAAATCACATTTTAAAACCATTAAAATCCACCCCCTATCCAAACATACATAATGAAAACAATCAAAAACAGTTAAAACACATACAAAACAGAGTTAAAATTTGTGGCAGGGTATGAGCTTTCATGAGTCACTGCTCACTTCTTCAGATACCTGAAGAAGTGAGCTGTGAAGAAGTATCTGAAGAAGTAGTCAGTCACGTATCTGAAGAAGCAGTGACTCACGGAAGCTCATACCCTGCCACAAATTTTGGTAGTCTTTAAGGTGCTGCTGGTCTTTTACTCCTTTCTACTGCTGCAGGCAGACTAACACAGCTACCAATCTTGATTAAAACAGAGTTAAAACATCCTTTCATGATTGATGGTTGGGGCATCATCCATTTGACCCATTCTGTTTCAAAGCACATTTCTTTTAAAATGTCGAACTTGAAACTGGCCCCAGAATTTTGTTTTCCATGCATGGGCTTCCTCAGAATCTCAGCTTTCATTTTAACAAAGCATTTAAGAATCAACAGTAACTAAACACAAGACACCTTTTTAACACAAGGCTGCTCACAAAGCGATTTACAACTGATGTGCACTTTTTAAAAAAGTGAAGGATGGTACGTGAGAGATGCCAGCTCTCTAGCAGCAATGGGGCAGGGCCCTGTGTGCTGAAGATGGCAGGTGCCTGGGCTTGAGGCTCCCGCCCTCGTCCCTCCCCATCAACCACTTTTTCAAAGCCTTCACAGCCAACACAAAAGTAAATTATGAGAACAGCCAGGGGTTCCAAAACCAAAGCAAATAAAACAGACTTGCCTTCGATCAAGACCTTTTTCCCAACAGGGGAATCGAAATCTAGCAGGACTATGGACCCCACACACATTTTGAATTTTGACACTGAAAAGCACAAGCCAAGGAGGAGAATGTGGTTTTAATTTCCAGTTCTTGCAGCCTCTGCAGTAGTCCTAATTCAGTTTGAGAAGGTGTTGCAGCAGTTCAGTCTATGGCTTATTGCAAAGCACTCTAGCTGGAAACCACCACCCCAGTGCACTAGAAGTTCTCTTTATTGAAGTAGAACTGGACCTTCCTCGGATCCAGGCTGGAGTGTTGATGGCAGCACCTTTGCAGAGATTTAGCCAGTGGGCCTGGTCCACACAGGAAAACACCCACCACAGACCTGCAAAAACCAAGGGAGGAGCTTCAGCGAAAAAACAAGCCCTGTGACTTAAAAAGGAGAGGCGAGTGAAGAAATTAATATACGAACAGGCTTTGCATACACTGCTTTAGAAGCAAGCAAGCAGTTCTGTATCCGAAAGGACAATCTGCTGTAATTAGAACACGTTATGCAAAGTGAGAAAGCACACATTGGTTAATTTGCATAATTGTTATTAATGGGAAGGAACAAAAACTATATAAGATGCTGTAGCCCTGCCCCTGGAAAGCTGCCCCTCCTACCACCACCTCACCACCCCAGCCCCTAAAGATGTCCATGCTAGGCAAATATCACGTTATAGCTACACCACAAATGTAAGACTTGATTCTCTCTTCCCAGGGAACGGTCGCTTTGAAAGTGGAGCTAGGGTTCCCAAAGAATTCACAGCCCCTTCACCAAATCAGTGATCACGGCAAGGGCTTCAGAAGAGTCTATCATTCAATAGAAGAGTTCCTGCTTTGCACATGGAAAGTCTGTGCTTTTAAATGTCTCTGGCAGGACGACGGGGGAAATCCTCCGTAGGCCACAGAGAATCACGGCTAGTCAGCAGACAATCCAGCTGCTTCATTATGCATCCGCACAGCTCCTCCATGCCAGGCAAAGCAGAATGTTATGCAAATGTGTGTATTTTGCATCATTTATGAAGAGCACAGGACCGGGGGTTGCCTTGATTTTCTTATTTATTTACACCATTTATACCCCCATCTTTCTCCCTAATGGGGGACACTAAGTGGCTGATATTGTTCTCTCCTCTGGGACCGTTACTGTTAGCACAGAGCCCAAGGCTCAGCGGAGCCCAGAAATGGACAATCCACCCTTAGTCTCAGCTCCACCACCCTGGTGCACAGGACAGCAAGCACTCACTTGGGATGTGCAGCTGCCACCGCTGAAAATTCATTGCTCCACATGGGCCTCCCAAAGGATGTCTTCTGCCTCAGGCCTGTCACCACATCCGTGGCTTTGTCAACGTTGAGCGCTGCATGACCAACCTGGATTCTCAGCAAAGAGAGAAAGCTGAAATGAGTCAGATGTCACAACAGCACTTCACGCATTCCAAGCAACTTGCTAAGACTGGCTTTTCAGATGCTAAGAGCCTGCTGAGCTCCATAGCCGATGCCTGTAGTAATAAGCTAGTTTGTGACTTAGGACATAACAAGTTTGGGGAAAATGTGTGCATTAGCTGTGTGCATTCTGTAATTTTGCTGTTAAAGTGCAGAAACGGGTAAGGTAAAGGTTCCCTTGCTCGAAAGTCAATCGCATCCGACTCTAGGGTTGTGGTGCTCATCTCCGTTTCAAAGCCGAAAAGCCAGCGCTGTCCAAAGACATTTCCGTGGTCATGTGGCCGGCATGACTAAACCCCAAGGCGCACGGAACGCTGTTACCTTCCCACTGAAGTGGTACCTATTTATCTACTTGCAATTTCTTGCTTTCGAACTGCTAGGCTGACAGGAGCTGGAACTAGAGACGGGAGCTCACTCCGTCATGCGGCACACTCGGGTCTCGAACTGCTAAACTACCGACCTTCCACAGCCTGCAGTTCAGCGTCTTAACCACTTGAGCCACCGCAGCTCCATGCAGAAACTGGTACAGACTGCAAAATTCAGCATCCTAGAAATCTCGGTGGAAATAACATATACACGCCTACAAGAGACCAATGTCAATTTTTCCACGGGGAGGTGATTTTGAGAGGCAAATGACTGGTGAGAGAAGAGGGGTGCAAGACCCTTTTCCAGCCCACCAACTCTCCACTCCAAATGCCCCCTGCTCCCTGCCCCCTTCTAGAGGCTTGTTTAACCTTGAAATACACATCTGGGCGGAGGGAAAAGTGATCTGGAGAGGAGAAAAGGTAAGCAGGGAAAGGGCTGGGCAAGTCCCTCTTTCCTTCCGCCACTTCTCCACTCAGAATCACCCCTCCTGAAGTGGATATTTAATGTGTGTTAAGTGGCATCAAGTCACTTCCAACCCTATGAATTAATGTCCTCCAAAATGTCCCATCAACAGGCTTGCTCAGGTCGGGCAAACTATGGCCCCTGGCTTCCTTGACTGAGTCAGGTCTTTTCATACGCAAAGCAATTGTTGGATTTACAAGGGTCTGTAATAATACGCCATTACACCTTCAGCTTTCATTTGTGCTTTAGGAACTATTTTAATCATTCATGGTGTGGAAATGGTGTTGGGTGAGGGTTCAGGCACTGCCCTGGTGCTCTCAAGGAAACCAAAGGGTGCCCCAGGCACCTCTCAGGCCAAGGACAGCATGAAATATGAAAGCTACCAAAGGATGAGTTTCCTTTCTTTGGTGCACCCATCCAATTTCAAAAGTTTGGTGGAGTGGCAAACAGGTCTCATCACTCCTGCCGGTTAATAAGAGGGAGCTTCAAATGGGCTGGCTCTGCGACTCACCATACTGCTGCTCCAGCCAGTGAGAAAAAGGTGGTAGCTCAAGAAACCTGCTCTGCCAGAGCTCTCCATCTCTTGTTCCAGGGAAGCCAGCAGGTTCTTGAACCAGCCAAAGGACCCAGTTTCACGGCAGATCCAGTAGAAGTAAATCTGGGGACCCATAAACACAAAGAGAGACGCTGAATTTGAAGAGGATAAGTATGAAGAGACATGAAAACATGACAGGGTAATGGTTGCTTTACTTGGTACGTCCTGATATCTTTTGCCTCACCGTTCAGTTTTGGTCAAACAGGCATTGCAGGTTTTGGAAGCACTACAGAAACCTGCAAATCCTGTTTCACCAAAGATGCTAACCAGGATGGGCACGGCAATGAGGCTCCTCTTATAGCATTATCAGCTCTCTGAAAAGCAGTCATCAGTCTCTAGTGTGAGACTGCAGAGTGCTCTACGGTCTTTGTTCAGTGCAGCTCAAAAACTAGCATTCTCTTGTCACAACGCGCCCGTGATGAAGCAACAAGAGCATCTTACAAGACGTTTATGAGATCCTATGAGATGGCAAGCCGCAAAGAGACAATTCTACGCGGCCACGGTTGCGTCTGCTGGCTCATGCCCAGCACAATTGTTTAGAACTATTTGGTCGTTAACAGAGCTGCCTCAGGGCAGACCAAATGCTAGGGAACTGGACATTGGCTGTGAGGCTTTTGCAAGCTATTTTGCAGATAAAGCCCTGCTGCTCCGCCGCGATCTCTCTGCCACAGTTGAGACAGTGAGTGAACTCGAGGCTCCATGCACGTCTTCTGGTTCTATACTGGATTCTTTCAGTCCACTCAGCCTTGAGGAAGTCAACAAATTGCTTTCGACGGTACGCCCAACCATGTGAAGCCTTGATCCGTGCCCTTCATGGCTTATAAAAGCTGGCCGTGAGGAACTACGAGGTGCCCTCAGGGATATTATCAACAAGTCCTTAGTTGAGGGACTGTGTCCGGGGGCACTCAAGGAACCGATGGTCCGCCCTCTCTAGAAAAAACCATCCTTGGACCCGGACGAATTGGCCAACTATCGGCCGGTCTCCAATTTGCCCTATGGGCAAATTACTTGACAGAGTGGCGGCGATTCAGTTGCAGAGCTTTATGGATGACACTTCCATGCTAGACCCGTTCCAGTCTGGCTTCCGACCAGGTCATGGGACAGGGACGGCACTGGTCGCCCTCACAGACGACCTCCGGAGGCACCTGGATTGAGGCGGTATGGCGGTACTGTTGCTGTTAGACCTGTCAGCGGCATTCGACACCGTTGACCATCAATTACTGATCCACCACCTCACCAACACTGGGATCCAGGGGCTCACCTTGCAGTGGCTTGTCTCCTTTCTCCAAGGTCAGGGACAGAGGGTGGCACTAGGGGAGCAGACGTCCCAGAGGTACCCGCTGGTCTGCGGGGTTCCTCAAGGGGCGGTACTGTCCCCGATGTTATTTAACATCTACATGCGCCCCCTCGCCCAGATTGCCCAGAGGCATAGGCTAGGGTGCCATCAATATGCAGATGACACCAGCTATATCTGTTGTTGGGCGGTCAGTCTGACTCTACCCCAGATGACCTGGAGCGGGCGCTTTGTGATGTGGCAGGCTGGCTTAGATTGAGCCGATTGAAACTGAATCCAACAAAGACGGAGGTCCTGTGCCTGAGTTGGAGTGGATCGGGGGTAGGGATCCCACTCCCGACCTTCGATGGGGCACCATTGGTGCCAGCGCTGAGGGTTAGGAGCTTGGGAGTGCTCCTAGATGCCGCTTTAACAATGGAGGCCCAGGTAGCAGCCACTGCCAAGGCAGCCTTTTACCATCTGTGGCTGATTAGGCAGTTGGTTCCCTTCCTTGAACGCAATGACTTGGCAACAGTGATTCATGCTATGGTCATCTCGAGATTAGACTACTGTAACGCTCTCTACATGGGGCTGCTCTTGTCTCAGATCCGGAAGCTGCAGCTAGTGCCAAATGTGGCAGCCAGGCTGTTGATGGGTCTCTCTATATGAGACCACATCCAGCCTGTGCTGAAGGCACTGCACTGGCTGCCAATAGCTTACCGGATTCATTTCAAGGTGCTGGTTTTGACCTTTAAAGCCCTATATGGTCACGGGCCTGCCTACTTGAGGGACTGCCTTTCCCCACATGTGCCCCAGAGAGCACTGAGGTCAAGGACACAGAGTCACCTGGCTCTCCCTGGCCCAAGAGATGCCAGGTTGGCCACTACTAGACCCAGGGCCTTTTCAGTGGTGGCTCTACACTGGTGGAACAAGCTTTTGGACCTTTTACAGTTCCGCAGGGCCTGTAAAACGGAACTCTTCCACCAGGCCTTCAATTAGGAGCTGCCACTGATGAATGTGCGACCGGAACACGCTATGGCCCATATAAAACATCGGTGGATACTGCCTCCCTTGAGGGGATTGTATATTGATGCCGCCATCATCTGCACTGTTCCTGTTAGATTTTATGATGTTAGGTAGCTGTTTATGTATATTTTATTGTATTTTAGTGTATTGACTGCTTTATTGCTTTTAATGTTGTTCGCCGCCTTGAGCCAGTTCCCAGCAAGGTGGGATATAAATTGAAAATAATAAATAAATAAATAAATAAATAAATAAATCAGGATAAGAAGAGACAGGTCTCAGGGTAATCTAGCAGCCTCGCCTTCACCCTAAGTTACCTTTTTAGTTTTGAGTTTCTGATCAGCATGCTGGAGCTTGTACCAAATGGATTTCAGCACCGAGGCAAAGGGGGTCACTCCAATCCCTGCTCCCACCAACATGGCCACCTCATACCGGAACACATCCTCACTGGCTGTGCCAAAGGGGCCGTCCACCTTGATCCTGAAAAGATAGATCTCAAATACTAACTCTTGTAGGTTGCGATGTTCCCCTAGACCCTCGACTAATGTTGCTAAATTTGTGGCCTGAGAGTGACATTCCCAACAAACAGAGAAAACTGATAAATCTACTCTTTACAGCCGCAAAAAATGTTATAGCTAAGAAATGGAAAGACGAACATCCTCCGACAATTAATTTATGGCTATCTAAAGTATGGGAATATTTTTTATTAGAAACCGTTTCCATTTTTAACACGAATGACCAAAATGAATGTGAACTAATGAACCCAACTGGTAAATGGTATCCAATTGTGGATAAGTTAACCTTTGAGTCTTTTGATTGGAAAGCGATTAGTGCAGCACAATACTCATTGTTATTGATAAGCTAGCAAACTTCTATTAGTATTTGAGTAAGTCAAATTGGAAGTCTGTATACACACTGACATATATATGAAAAATTGTTAAAATGTTGTTTGAGAACCTGTATTTATTTGTTATGTTCTGAATTAAAATCTAATAAAATATTATGGTTAAAAAAAAAAATCCTGAAAAGATGGGAAGAGCTGTGAGCCAGTTGCCTTCTCTGCTCCATTGACGGTCGCATGACATACCAAGCCAGACCACCATAAAACACTTGACTATTAAAAAAAATCTTAATGCCACAATTGGAATATTTGAGGGAATTTCCATATTAAAGTGGTTAAAGAGACGCTAATCATGTGATCCTGACTGAACTAATTCTTCAGTGAATTTTTAAAAACATTTTAAATTGTTAAACTTCAGTAACAGCTTTTCATTAAAATATTATCCATATACAGTCTTGCATTATGTTACAACTATCATCGATTATTCTTATCATCGCTTTTCTGCTCTATATGGATTGGTTGACTCGTTTACACAAAGTATTCTGTTATAAAATTGGAGTATTGATCAATGTAACATTAATAAAGTATAGGAACAGTCTGGTAACATAATATTGTTAAATGATTGCGTATTGGGGTATTTTTCCAAAAAGGAAAGCCATTTATCTAATAAATTTGGTTGATTTACAGAAACATGTTTTAGCTATATTGTCCGATATCTTGTCTAAAATAAAATAATCCCACAACTTAACGTACCATTGTTGCAACAGTGGGAATTCTTCACTGAATTAATTGAATGCATAGCTATGCATTCAATTGAAACAATCAGAGGTCATTTCGGGGGGGATCGCAGTCCCCCTGGGTGAGGTACGAGGGGCGGGGCACATGACGAAGCCCCGCCCCCTGCTTCCGGCCGCCCCGCTTCCAGCCCTCATTCAACCAGGAGGAGGCAGGAGAAGAGGGAGGGTAAGTTGCTTCCTCCCTGCCTCTCCCCACCCCTGCCTGCCTGGGGCCAGGGAGGGCCTTCGCGGGGCTTCCTTGCACTCCCACCGGCCTTGCAGGTCCACCGCCGGGCCCCTCATGGGGCTCGGCAGTGGAGCTGCAAGGCCGGCGGTGGCGGCCGGGACCGTTGGGGACGGGGTGTGTGGCCTTATGACACACTTCCGGTGATGTCAGGGGGTGTGGCCTTATGACACACTTCCGGTGATGTCAGGGGGTATGGCATATGCTAATGAGTTATGCTAATGAGTTCCCCTAGCTCTTTTTCTACGAAACGACCCCTGGAAACAATACATCTAAAGAAGAAAGCAATTTGGGTTTGGAGTATCATGTAAGACATCCTAGCATTCCCTCAAGAGCTGGATCCAGACTAAACTTGCCACATGGAAGGAGAGGTATAATTTCTGCCAATTCCGAAAGTCTCCTGTTTCCCAGGAAACAGCATTTCAGGGAGACTGATGAGCTGGAACAGGCGGGAGAGAGGTAGGAAAATTCTGTTCCGCTTCTGTGCCTTCTGTTAGTGGAAAACAGAGTCTGGATACAGCCCTATGTGAGAGGCGGAATGCCACTCAGTTTTTATAAGGTTTTTGTAACAAGATAATTTTGAACAATTAGCTGCCCAGTTTGGAGCCCCTTTGTAGGTTTTTAACTGATGAATCTAACTGAATAATTCGTAAAACACTGCATACTTGCTGTTTTTACAATTTTTTTCCTATTAAATCATCTTGGATGTGTGCTTTATCGTCCGGCCCTCGGAAAGCACAAGGAGCTATGCAGAATATTAAAGCCCCCATATTTTACTACTGCTGGTGCTGTTCAATTACATTTCTGGTTCTGAGATCTTCCCGTGCCCTATCAACACATATTCAGTGCCTGTTGTAATACTTCTGCTTCTGCTCACCTGGGTATCTTTGGAGTCTGCTGCTCAAAGGCGTCGATTAGAGACTCTGTCCAGTCGCCTGCTGCTCGGATGTGAACAGAGAAGTCCTCCTCCTCTGGTGCGGATGTGAGGGTGAACGGATGCCATTCCCAGTGGGAGATGGAGGGGCAGTTCAGGAAAACATACTGCCCCACTTCCATGCTGAAACCCTTCATGCGCATCTGCAGCTCAAGCACTTTCGAGGGGTGCTTGACAACCTAAAGACAAAAGCCTGACCGTGAAGCAAAATTACCTCAGGCTTCCTCGTCTGGGAGGCCGTGACAACCTCCCAGTTAGAATGATGGGGTTTGTCCTAACGTCTGCTCCCATCGCACAAGCCAGCCGCATGGTTCCCCTCACCTTTACCATAAGGGCACATGCTGGGGGGGGGGGTTCTAACAAGATGGAAGGGAAAATAGAGTAAGACAATATTCCTCTTCCTTTTCTATTTCTTTTTTCTTGTCCTTTTTTAAAGAAAAAAACCCCACAACGTAGCTCTTTACCAAACTCCCCATACCAAACTGCACAAAAACTTCGTTTCCAGTGCCTCTGTTTCTCTGCTGTGTGTAAGAACAGAGTTGCTATGGACAAATCAGCTTTTGAGGAACTGTCAAAAGCTAGTTTTGAAAGCCATTGTCTGACACAGAATCCCCAGCTTTCCCTTAACTGGGATTCCTCAGCAGCTGCTAGGCAGGAGTTCTCTCAGCATGCATAGATTACCCTCAACAAACACATAATCCCAGGAGAACATAATGGATCTCTGGGACAAGGGGCAAACGGTAAGGACCCCGCCCCCTCCTCGAGCTGAGACCCCCTTGGTTATTGGGGTCCCCCTCTTATTTTGGACTTGGTTGTTTTAATAGGCACTCCCTTTTAGAGCCTCAGTGCCAGAGAAGCTGAGACTTAGGGCTCCCATAAAGGCACCTGGGTTCAGCTATGACATTGGGAAAGTCCAGGAAAGCCCAGGAGAGAAAGGGCGTGCTGGAATTGTGCAATCTCTCCCAGCTCATGTGGCATATTTATTCTCAAGAACAAAAAAAACTTTCAGTATCGAGCTCCAGGATATGCCTAATACAATCGTATCCCTTGCTCCAAGGGCTACTTCATCAAGGCAATATGAACCATTTCCGGCCATAGACAGTTGGGCAACCCTTAAGTATCATTAATCCAATCCAGCCATTGATAAAGGCAGCCTAACATCTGAATCACCCTGGATGGGCCATCAGGAGGACATCATTCATGCTAAAACGGTCCAAGCATCACTCCATCTTGGAATGTCAGGTATCTCCCTACTAATCTTCCCACCAGATTTTGTCACCCGTTACCTTCAAACTGCCCAGTCAAATTCAAACGTCACATCTTGGACCAATCATGCTCCTGGGAAAGTGGGTTCCCATGTCTGTCTATGGGACCCTTCCCCATAAAAAGACCATCCCAAAACAGTGGAAAGTGTGCCAGGTAGAGATGTGAAGGCCCGGGGAAAAACCAGAAAAATTCGGGGGGGGAAAACATTTTTTCCCCATTTTTTTCCTGAAGCCTTTTTGTTTTTTTCCGAAAAATTGGAAAAATTGAAAAAAGAAAAGAAAAGGGAAAAAATTGATTGTGGAACGTTTTATTTTAACATGATTAATATATTTTAAGACAAGGTGTTCAAATATTTTCCAAATAATTTCTAAAATATATATACATGGTATCAGATTGATCTAATTTCTGTGCACATAGGACAAGTAAGTCCTAGGTTACAAACTGAACTCTCCAATGCAGGAACAAAACACATTTCTTCCTTTAGGAGGTGTGATTGTCAGAAGAAAATAAAAAAGTTTCAGTTTTGTTTTTGCATGTGGGCAAAACATTTGTAATAATTGTTTGGATACACTATATTTCATGCCAAGTAAAAATGTCCATAGTCATATTTTATGTTCCTAAAGTAACAGAATGACTTTCAATCTAGAAAAAACAAAAGAAATGCAATTTTCCCGAAAATTTCCGGGTTTTTTTCGGGGGGAAACGGAAAAAACCCGGGTTTTTTTCTGAGCTTCAAAATTTCCGGAAATTTTACATCTCTAGTGCCAGGTCTTCCCACTACCTGAACACCCCCGCGACTGTGTTGTAGGCTCCTTCCCCCCACCCCGTTGCTCTGCTCTTTGGACCTCAGCTGTGCTTGCCCCCGGACCTCTCCAGACCTCAAGCCCAGGATTTCAGGTCATATGTCCCTTCCCTAAAACGTCCCAGTTTCCTCCCTCATACCATTTATAAGTGTGCCTTCCTGGGGTGTGTGTGTGTGGGTGCATGTGTGGTGTCTTAGGGAATACGTTCTCAGGTGCCTAGTGTAGATACTTCATATTTTTACTTTTATTTTATTTTATTTTGCATGCAACAAAGCTATTTGTTTGTGTCTAAAATCATTCTCTCTCGGTCTCGTTCTTCATAATTGTATTGTTGGATACCCCTATCAAGATCCACCCTAGTACACATAGACCAAGGTCCTACTTGAACTGGACAAAAGAAGTCACTGAGTCCCTTCTCTTGCTTTGGGGTGAAACAAAAGGAGACACTTTTCCAGATTTCCAGGGGGTACAGCCGAAGCACCAGAACAGAATCCCCAAGGCAGCCTTCAGGAATGTATCCCACTCAAAAACACTGAGCTTGGGAGGCAGCATCAACACTTACCTTGGTGACGGCCACTTCCTGACAGGAACGCCAAAACCGCAAGACTCGTTCGAAGGCATAGAGAATCAGAGGGGCCAAAACCCATTTCCAGGACTTCAAAGAAAGAATAGAGTCATATCTATGCTAAAAGGACAGTCACAATTAAGACTTTTCTCACTGTTTGTACAACCCGCCTCTCTCCATAATCCCAGTACTTCCCTCATAATGGGCTCCACTGACCAGGTCCCACCCAATCCTCAACAAGCGCTTCCAGTTATGGATGAAATTGGAATTAGGATTGTTAGAATAAACAAGGAACACGATTATTAAATTTGACTAATGTGATTATTCTAAAAACTATTCAAGAAGACTTGATATTTAATTTCTAAGTTAAATATCTGAAGTAGCTACATTTTTCTGTGGGAGGAATGACTGCAATTCTGCAAGTACCCCTGTGAAAATCTGCTGATACATAAATGTACAGACTGAAAAGTGATGTAGAGGTGGAATCGTGCAAAGCTGGAAAGGTCTCAGAAGAAAAGCTGCATAGACCACAACCCCCATTAATTTCTAGAGTAAACAAGGCTATCCCTTAAACCCTCAGATTCCAGAATCTGAAGCAAATTCAGTTTTTCCCGGTAATGTTAAATGTAACACTCAAAAACATTCTATGTACTCTTTTTAAAAAAATGAAAACAAAAGGTTCTGATAGACTCCAACCACATAACTCAAGCTCATTTGCTAAAAGAACTGAATCTAGATGTCTCCAGGATGTACTAGACAAAAGGAAGCACTGGTGGTTTTTAACTTAGTCAGGAGAACGGTGGGTTCATATTCTTACTTCAGCAGGGATACTCCCAAACTCGGGCTCTTTGCAGTTGTGAGGG